TTTCCCGTACGTAAGAACCACGCATAACTCAAGACTGAATTTGAAATACTTAAGTTGTACTTGGAGAGGGAACACTCCCTCAAAATTTCAGCTTCCCAGCTTTTCTGGTTACCGAGTTAGCAGTTTTCCCGCTAAAATTTTCACATACCCGTACTTGGGTACTCCACGTGATTAGAAAGTTGAATTTGAAGTTTTTAAACTGCATGTGGGCAGGAAACATTCGCCTAAAATTTCAGCCTTCCGTTTCTACTGATTGTCGAGTTAGTAATTTTCCTGCAGAAATTTTCATACGTTCTTACGTGAGTACGATGCACAGCTTTGGGCCGATTTTTAAATATTTGAGTTGTACTTAGATAGGGAACATTTTCCCAAAATTTCAGCTTTCTAGTCTTCTGTTACCCGAGTTAGCAATTTCCCTCCTAAAATTTCCATACTCCCCTACATGAGTACTACATATACCTGGAGGCTGGATCTGAAATTTCTAGCTAGTACATGCACAGTGAATACCCCTACAAAGTTTCAGCCCTTTAACTCATGTGGTTCCCGAGATCGCTTTCCTGACAAAAAATTTGCATATTTTTTAAGACTTCCGTACGCGGCACCCAGGCACCCAAGGGGAATGAAATTAAAATGCGAGGGTCGCGCATGGTATGGGCACATATCCCTAAAGTTTCAGCCTTCTAGCCTTTCCGGTTTTCGAGTTTAAAGTGGGTGACAAAAAGTGCGAACACACAGGCACACACACACACACACACATTCTGTTCCTAATATGCGTTTTTGCAATTTACATATATACAAAGCCGCTTAAACGGAAATTATTTATTTTTGCTTATGCAAGATTTATGATGATTTACGGTATTGAGAGCATTAAGGTACGTGTGAAGAAACAACCATTCATGCAATTAACCCAATTACTTCAATTTTGGTGCAAAAACGTATGATCGCACCGGTTCTTCTGATGGGTTCCAGCCTGGGTTTAAGACAAGATGTTCAAAGCATAAAAGGTTGAGGGCAGTAACACCTACGGAATTCGCCATTGGTTGCATTTCGGCATTATGACTTCTTGACCGACTTTGCATAATACAACGGAATTCACTTTCGTAGTTGGTCCTATACTAATGTTGTGATACCAGCCTTAATATGTCCGTAAACAGAACGGCCAAACTCTTAAAATTTTTTTACTCGAGAAAATTTTATAAAATATAGTAAATGAAAATATAATGAATGGCATCCCTAAAATTCCGTGTTTCTCGTTCGCTTCGCTCCGAATTTCTAAATTCGGTCTGAATTTCAACCAGGGGTGTTGCGAAAATTTTAATGTGTCCCAGCTCACAAATTATGACATTAGCCAGAATTTGGGCTTGGAGCTGTAAGTCAAAATAAAAACAGAGCTTGTTCATTATTATCATTTCTTCCATCCCGCTCGTTGATTAACTTATCCCGAAATTTCAAGTTGATAACTTTATCAAACTGGACAAATTTCGTGTTTGGTTAAAGACATAATGTTAACTGGCAAATGACGCTAAGGTTTTGCCCTTCTACGTATGGTTGAGAACATCCGTGCAGCCGTGAGAGAGAGAAGGAGGAAGCTGGGATGAGAATACCTGAGGAGTTTTTGAAATAAATCGCTATTTAAAAAAAAAAAAAGAAAAAAAAACTATTATCAAATCCTGTGTCACCCTGAACAGTTTCTTCCAGTTATCATCTGAAAGTGAGTCTACGACGCTGTGAAAGTTGCGAATGACATCTGCGTTCTTATTGTCATTGCACACCAAAAATTTGATCACTTGGATTTACAATCTTTTTTACCTCATTTTCCCGTACTGAATGTGTCTCAAAATCCAGAGAATCTT